AAAAATTTTGCCTAATGAAGTGAAAAAAAAAAAAAATCAAATTTTGTCACCTGAGCTTCATTGCTTATGAGAATCATGTTTTAATTCTTTTTTTTTTTATTTTTTTTTTTTTTTTTTTTACTTGCATCATGGCAAGTATTGAAACCACAAAGAAAGAGTCCACTTACTTAATTTGTTTCATCCAAACTCAGGCTTTACTTGTAGTCAGTGTTTTTGTATGCAGAGTAAAAGAAGCATTTAAAATAATGATATTTTTGCTTATGAAAAGTACCCTTATTTTGGTTTCACTCCACGTGGGTTATTAAGGAGAGTAGGTTTTTACCAGTGATGTACTGTTGTGCAATGAGGCATCTCTCCATGTGTTACTTGCTTGTACTTGCGGTCATTACCAGTGGTGCATTTTTTGTTGAGCCTTTATGTACAAAAAGAAAAAGAATCTTTAATCCTCCTCTTTCTCTGCATCTCTCTCTGCATCTCTCTCTTTCTTTCTTTCCTTTGAACTGTCTGTTCTGCCCTCTTTTAAATACCATGTCTTTTCTCTCTCATCTTTTCTTTCTCCTATTCCCTCTCATCCCCCTTTCTTACTCCTCACCACACCGGTTCTCTCCTTCCCTCCCTTCAACTCCCTTTACCTCTTCGCTTCTCCCCTCTTCTCTACTGTCCATTCTCTTCTGCCCTCTCCCTGACTGTCCACTCTACTCTAATCTTTATTTTTTCTCTCTGCTTGCTCTCCTTTTCCATCTTTTTTCCAGTCATGCTTTTTATTCCACTGAGACATTGTCACTTTGTAATTTGGTGCTTCATGGGTTGTCTGAATTTTAGAAATCACTCCTTTTGTCTTAGTCCCGCACTCCTTAAAGACTCACTGGTCTTTAGAAAATTGTGCTTCTTCTTGCATTGGCTAAACACCCCGGACTGTTCGGTTTAGAAGTCCGGCACAGAAACACAAATAATACAATGAAATACCTGATGTTACTCGGCTGCATTGATTTTTATGGTCGTTATCAGAATTTTTCCCTCCCTCTTCCATTCCTCCCCTACACTGGACCGAGTGTGGACGTTGTTTCTTTATATTCTCAAAGGCTGCGAACAAAAGATATGATAAACGAGCAGTGATTCCAATCACTTTATTAATGAAATGTTTAATGTTTTCGTAAGGGCCTCGTTTCAAAATTTAGGGTACTCGTGTTATGTTTTTACTTGTATAAAAATTGACAATTTATATTTTGAAATTGACACTAAAATATACAGAATAATAATTTTCTTTTGTGTCATTGACCTTTTTAGAAGTCCTTATATACCTGTTGTGAAAGGAAGTGAGGAACCTGGACTCAGTCTATATAATTAAGGAATTTGATGATTGTCCATGATGTTTTAAAGCTGGAATGTTTATTATACAAAAATCCCTGAAGCAAATACTGTATGTTGCAGCTATTGGGTTGATTACATAATTATATTACAGTTTTAGCATATAATTTATATGTAATTATATATTTGTATATACAGTTAAATAATCAATTATATATAGTTATGTAATTAATTATAAATTATATAAATATAAATCATAATTATAATATGAATTCATTAAAATTAGTAATTATGATTAACTGATATGTTGAATCAAATGTATTCCAAATTCCAATTTCTAAACTTCTTAAAGCTAAGTTCGAGTCGGGACACAGAGAAGAAAAACACATTCTCATGTCTCCATTTATTCTCTTGTGATACTATACACATTAATATACAATTCAAAAGTACACAGCACAATCTCTATATACTTACAATACACAGAGTACATAGCATCTATATTTATACACCTTTACATCTATGGAATGTGTAAACTCTATCCCCTGATTGCTCTTGCAGAAAATGGTCTTAAAAGAATAAACAACTCTGCCTCTCTTACGTTGCACCATTTCTAACATCAACATTGCAACACTTAATTATATGAGTGACAGTGATACACAAATGCAGGAATGATTAGTTTGAGAAGTACAATATTATTGATGAAAATGATAATTAAGTTACAGGGTGAACAGCATAAGATAATCACTGCAATGTTGTTTTTAATTCCCATTTTTGCCCAAAACAATAACCTTTTTGACATTCTGCTTTCATCTGAATTTTTTTCTGTTTAAGCACTTAATATATAATTATATCAACTACAGTATGAAAAAACACGATAATATTTTTAAATCTCCAAAACTGAAAATAAACAAATAGTATACATACACTTAACATATGTCATTAGAAAATCTATACCAGCTTTCTGATACTCTGATGAACTTTACGAAAAAAATGTTAAAAAACATTTGAGCGGGCACATTAATTTCTTTGGGTTTTTATATAAAAATAATAATAATCTATTACAAAGGCAGATTCTATGATATCCCATGCTCCTGATTCTTAAGTAGAAATGTTTTGCTTAAGATATTCATTTGATTTTATACAACAAAAAAAAAAAATTGGAGCATGCCCAGTTTGAGAATTATACACACACAAACATACATGCACACAGCCTTTTCACGCAAGCATAAATGTATACGTCTGCAATCTATTTACAGAACCATCTCTCATGTTGCATACACAATCATACACACATCTATTATCATTTATGCATTCTTGCATATTAAAATTGACTCCTTTCATCATTTTCATTACCAATAAATTAACACAGTATCAATATTCGAGCATAAAACAGTATCACAGTCTATGAAAAAATAGAGCATATTTCCCTCATTTTCATTTATATTCATAATATTCTAAATAAGATATCACAAAAAACATATTCCATGGAACAAGAATCTAATAACAATAAAATAATGTAACTTGGCACACTATTCAGTATGCAAGACGATGAAGAAGGAAGAGAAGAAGAAAATGGAGAAGAAAAAGAAGAATGAATGGATCTAAAAAAAAAAAAAAAAAAAAAAAGAAAAAGATACACACACAAGAAAAAAAAAAAAAAACATTTTACCACATGAAAGACTATAAATGAAAGCAATGGTTTTAAATAGCAATTTCATAATAAACACCAAACAACAAATCAAATTGAACTGAAATTCATAATGTTCAATGAATGAATTTGTGTAGTTACAAGGAAACATTTAACACAATAAAATAACTATAAATAATATACATATATACATATACATATACATATATATACATATACATACATATATATACCATACATATAACATACATATAACATACATATATACTACATATATACATATATACATACATATATACATACATATGTATGTATGTATGTATATGTATATGTATATATACATATATACATAGAAACTGACCTTTGAATTATTTCTAAATTCCTTTAAAAAAAAATAAGTTTTAGTCCAGTTTATACTGTGCTTCAAAAGTAATGCTGAGAATCGACTATCTCCCTTGAAATTACCATTAAAAAATATATATATTTTGTTAATAAGACATATAATCACTTCTAAAACATCTATTTTCATGAGATCTAAACATTTATGAAAAAAAAAAATCAAAATCAGTTATCTGCTTGGTCCCATGTAAAATATTTTCTAAAAATCGCAATAAGAATATATGTATATATATAAAAAAAAAAATCAAATAACTTCTGTAACAAGCCTTTCTGCCTCCCAAACAGAGGTTAAATTTGGGTATTTCTACGCCTACTAACTAGACCCTAAACCGCGTGAAAAATGAAACGTCAAAAACTGTCAAATATAATTATCTCTGTTAGTGAATGCTGTGCAGTTTTTCTTTGGCATATTATTGTATACAATTTGCATACAATAGCAAAAGAGTCTCTATATTAGTATACAATCATATGTTCAGCTTCAAACTACACTGTTCTCTCTCTATGTGTTTTCTGGAATTTAAATACATATCCTCTACATTTCCTTCCCATTAACACTTCAAACACTATTACAGATAAAGCACAATATGAGATTCTCTTTCCTTTTCTTCTCCTTCGGAACTTGAGAACTAAACGACAGTTCACTTCTTCACTAAAAGCGCTTCCTTGTTACAAAGTTAAAACTCGAGACTCTCACTGACTATGTCTAGAAATAAATAACTTGCTAAAACAGAATCCAAAAATAAATCTCGTGCACTACACTGCATAAAAAAAACAGTAAAAATCACACTTCCAAATAACAAATTACAATAAAACTATGAGCAAAATAACATCCACAATAGTATGTAATCCTTACAACAGACCTTATTGACCAAAATAATAACCACGTGAATAGTTCCGCTAAATAAGATATTGTTATTCCTTTTCTTCCGTGCAACATCAATGAATGCAATGGAAACATGTTCTAGACGTGTTGAGTACATTCTCCTTGATCTGAATGAAATAGTAGGCAAGGCGTTATAACCAAAACATGAGTATCAAATTGATGGAAATGTGTCTGTGTGTATGTGTGTGCATGTGTCTCTGATAACAGCAATAATCTTTAAAGCAATAAATAGTCATGATAATGACAATGATAATTATAATGATAATAATAACAATGGTACTCTTGATAATAATAATAATAATGATAATAATAATAACAATAATAATAATGATATTCCTGATAATAATAATAATAATAATAATAATAATAATAATAATAAAATAAATAATAATGATACTTGATAATAATAACAATAATAATGATATAAAATAATAACATGATAATAATAATAATATAATAATAAAAATAATAGAAATAATAATAACAACAATAATCATAATAATAATAATGATAGTAATAATAGCAGTAACAATTAAAAAAATAATAACAATGATAACAATCAAGCTAGTTATCATCATAATAACAAAAATGATCACAAAAATCAAAATCACCATCTCCTATCAGTATCATTACAATCATCATATATCACCCTCATCATTATCCTCATTACCATCATCGTAACAATAACAATAATAATAATAATAATAATAATAATATGACTGGGTTTTCCACTTAAACTCTACGATCACAAGGCGAAGTATATGTATGTGGGAGGATAACTTATTAAAAAATATATAAAATTAATGAGAAAATGAGTAGAATATTATATTATTTTCCTCCAATTCTTGACTGACTGGCTATGATTTAAAAAAAAATATATTTAATTCTAGTTAACGAATAAATAAAAAACTAGAATTATTTCTTTTCTTAAATAACTGATGAATCTTGACTGACTGACTACAATTTAAAATAATAATAATAATAATAATAATAATAAAAATAATAAAAACTAGAATCCTTATCTTTCTCCATAAATAACAGCTGTGAATAATCGTACTGAACGAAACAATACTCAAATAAAAAAGTGTAAACCACATACATAAACACCTTAAAATTAACGGTCTTTCAATATTAAGGGGAAGATGTTTTGTTCTTTGGCGCTGACTTCGGCGAATCGTCCGTCCTCTGTTCGACTCCGCGGCAGAACAGTTTCAGACGCTGGCAGTGAATCCTGGAAATAAAAAAAAATAAATAAATAAAAAAAACAAAACTAAAATCAATCATTACACGAAAGGGGAAGAGCATGAGAGAGAAAAAAAAACATGGTGAAGGAGGACTGGCAGGTAAATAATCACTAAAAATCGTTAACACATAAAATCGAATCTCTGCAAGAATCTCAACTATAAAATTATTCTTCATTTGAGGGTCCATGGGGTTAGGCCTAAAAAAATTAAAAATAAATAAATAAATAAATAAATAAAAAGTCCAGATCTGTTGAAGAAAAGAAATAAATTATATATATATGACAAGAAAATATCTCTTTACTCATCTGAACGTCAGCAATATAATCAGCTGTTGTTATTCTACAAAATCCTCGAAAGTAAACAAACGAATAAAAAATAAATAATGATTTTTGAAAATCCCAAACACGTAAACGCCATTTCTTAAAATTCAGCTCCAGCACTCAAACTTCAACACTATGAAGCTCATAAAATAAAAGAAAATTGGTGGAATCACTAATAACTTTAAATAAATAATGAAATAAAACCTTTTTTCCCCCTCAACCAACTCCATTGACCATTCTAATCCCTCTAAAACCCAACTGCAACGACAATTAAATAATAAATCCCCATTCTAACTACAATCAACAAACAACATACCCGCATAAACAATTTTTTAATCAATTTACTTTCTAATTCCATTTATTACAAAGGATATTCTTAGCTGTGACATACTGTCTTTTTCATCCGCTTCTGAATCTCTCCCTGCGTGCAAGGAATGGCCGGGGTGACCATCCACTGGATGTCAGCAAGCGCGGCGAGCGAAATCAGATCTCTAGCGAAAGCTACCGCTGCACCACCCAGATCTCTAGACGAGAACGCTACCGCTGCACCACCCAATCTGACCGCTGATCTCTAACGAGCTACCGCTGCACCACCCAATCTCTAGACGAGAACGCTACCGCTAGACTAGAGAACGCTGCTACCCCTGCTACCGCTGCACACCCAGATCTCTAGCGAAACGCTACCGCTGAGATCTCTAGACGAGAACCTACGCTACCACCCAATCTCTAACGAGAACGCTACCGCTGCACCACCAGATCTCTAGACGAGAACGCTACCGCTGCACCACCCAGCTACCGCGCTGCACCACCCAATCTCTAGACGAGAACGCTACCGCTGCACCACCCAGATCTCTAGACGAGAACCTACCGCTCACCACCCAGATCTCTAGACGAGAACGCTACCCTGCACCACCCATCTCTAGACGAGAACGCTACACCAGCCATAAATACCCACAGATACCCACAATACCCACTACAGCAAACTACCTGTTCGTTTATTGAGTTTATATGACCAAATAAACCCAAAATTAAAGAGGCGACCCAAAAAAAAATACATCAAGTTGACACATTTCTTCCCCAGTAAAAAAAAATAATAAAAAAATGATTAAAAAATTACCCTCCCCCATAAAAAAGATAGTAATAACACAATGAAATAATAATAACAAAAGAATACAAAATAACAAAAACCTTTATCCTGACAATCAACGACCCTCTACCACCTCCCCCCCAAAAAATAAAAATAAAATAAAATACAATGAAAAATAAATAAAATTACAAAAAAAAATCCTTAAACAAACAAATCTACAATAATTAAAATTCTGAAAAAAACAAACCCCGTTCTTCCAAAAAATAAACAAACAAAAACAAAATAAAAAATATAAAAAAAACAATTAAAACCCCTCTTTCCCCCCCCCCACCACCACCCACCCTCCTCCCACCCCCCACGACTCACTTGATGGTCAGCGCGGGCTCGTTCAGCTGCTCGCCGTCGCAGTTCCAGGACGACTGCGGCCCGGACAGCTTCGGCGTGAACTGCAGCTCCTGCCACGCGTGGACGTCCACGTGGCCCCAGGTCAACTGCAGGGGGAAGGGGAAGTAGTTAGGAAAGGGGGTAGGTAAGGGGAAGGAGAGTTGGGGAGGGAGGGGATAGAGGAGGGGAGGGGAAGGGGATAAGGGAAGGGAAGGGAGGGGGGAAGAGGTACGGGTAGGGGTAGTGGTAGGGGGAGAGGGAGGGGGAGGGAGGGAAGGGGAAGGGAAGGGGAGGGAGGAGGAGGAGGAGGAGGAGGAGGAGGAGGAGGAGAAGGGAAGGGGGAAGGGTAGGAGCAGAGGTAAGGGTGGGGGTAGGGACGGGGTAGGGTAGTGGTAAGGATAAGGGCAAGGTAGGGTAAAAGTAGGGGAAGAGGCAAAAAAAATAGATGCGTTTATTTCCTAATGGCAGGGGTAAAAATATTTTTTACTAATCCATTCACTGGTATTTCATGGAATTGTAGGCAATCAGAGTGACTAAAATATATTTACAACAAAAATAGACTGTAATACGTAATACACACAGCTATGAATGAAAAACTGACAACAGGAATGGAATAAAAGTCAAGACTTATAGAAAGAGACAGACCGACAGGAGAGAAGAGAGGAGAAAGAGGGAAGAGAAGAGAAGAGAAAGAGGAACAGAAAGAGAAAGAGAAAGTGAGAAGAGACGAGGAAAGAGAGAAGAGACAAGAAGAGAAGAGAGAGAAAGAGAGAAAAGAGAAAGAAGAGAGAGAAAGAAGAGAAAATAGAAGAGTAAGAGAGAAAAGAGAAAATACGAGACGAGAAGCAGAGAAGAGAAATAGAGAAGAGGAAAGAGAAAGAGAAGAAAAGAAAACAAAACAAACCCAGACACAGAAAATCACAAATAAAGAAAAAGAGAAGTAAAAAAGAAAGAAGACAAAAAAACAAACCCAGACACAGGGAATCAGAAACAAAGAAAAGAGAATATAAAGAAAAAAAAAGACAGAATCAAAACAGAGAAAAAACAGACAAGAAAACCAAAACCACAGACAAACAAAACAAAACAAAACGTAAAACAAAACCCACCCCACCACCCCACCCCCACCCCACCCCAACCCCAACCCCCACTCACCGAATTGCCCGTGCAGCTCGTCCTGTACAAGTAGCTAAGGATGCGGAACCTTGACCCCCCGGCGACGAGGATGAGGTCAGCGCAGCCGTCGCCGAGGTGCGCCGACGGGGACACGCCGTGGGGGGTCAGCCGGCAGGAGCACGAGGCCACGGCGGAGGTCAGGACGCTCCAACGGCCGCTGAACTGGAGGAGGGAAGGGGGGGGGATTGGTGAGTTTTGGGGTAGTGGAGGAGAGAGAGATTTTTTTTTTTTTTTTTTTTTAAAAGTTTAATTTTAGGGGAAGGGAAGAAGGGAGAAGGGAGTGAATTATGAAGAGGGTTTTTGACTATGTCGATTTTGTGACTTATTTTTATTATCATATTTATGAGGGATATGCAGTGGGTGTTTTGATCATTTTTCTCTTTGGGGGGGGGGTAATGGAGGGGGCGATCTGAACTTTTGAACATTTTTTAATGAAGGAGAGGGGGGCGTCATGAATTTTTTTTTTTTTTTTTTTTTTTTTTTTTTTTTTTTTTTTTTTTTTTTTTTTTTTTTTTTTTTTTTTTTTTTTTTTTTTTTTTTTTTTTGAGAGGTGGAAAGAGGCGTTTTCAACTTGTGTCGAATTCAAGAAAGATGGAGAAAGCATTTCTTGAAAGTGATTTTATTTATCTATTTCATTACTATCTTTTAAATTTATCCATCTATTTATCCATTTCATTTTATCTATTTCTTTATTGGTGGAAGATGTTTTGAATCTTGTTTTTTTCATAATGGAGGGGGCCATTTAATTAAACTCGTGCTAATCAGTTGGACATAATAACATGGCCCTTATCATCAAAAAAAGGCATTTAATCCATTTCCCCCCCGACCCCCCCCCCCCCAACAAGACCAGCGCGTACCCACCTGGTGCCACTCGCCGGGCAGGGGCGCCGCCCGCGACGCCTTCGAGCAGACGCCGCAGTGCTGGCTGCAGGGCGTGGCGTCGTCCGGCTGCGCGAGGGGCGTGGCCGGGTACCGCACGCGGACCTGCCCCTCGTACGACCTGTTGCGGATGACCTGCAGGAGGCCAGACACGATGTACCGCGACGGCCCCAGCTTCCGCCACCGCTCAGACGACTGCAGGAGGTCGCCGAAGTACCCGTAGGACACCATGGTGGTGGCCACGCCCAGCAGCTGCCCCTGGCCGTGCACCGCCGCCACGTCCACGCTGCGGCTGTCGCCTGAGGGGGGGGGGGGGTAGGAGTTGTCATTTCCTCATTTTAACATACGCACAGGCACATGCGCACACACGTATGCAACGGACATACAACACACACACACAAATAAGCCCACACGCCCACGCGCACGCACATACGCACACGCACACACCACAACACACACAACACACACACAACACCACGCACCACACACACACACACGACACAACACATCACACACACACACTATATATATATATATATATATAATATATATACAGGATATATCCCTGCTATTCACCAGGACTTCTATCTGAGCAGCAAGCAAAAATGCACCCTTAGTGACCTCTTCCCTCCCGCACCGAGCTCCCTCCTCAGCCTGTTGCTACGACTTCTCTTTCCTCTTCCCCTTTTCTTTTCCGATTCTTCTCGCTCTTCCTCCCTTCTCCCTTCTTCCCTCTCTTACTAATGTTCCCCTTCCTATTCCCCTTCTTGTATTAATTCCTCCTTCTCTCCCTTCTTCCTACTTTTATCCCCTTCCTTCATCCCTCCTCTCTCCCTTCGCGTTCTTTCCCTTCTAACCCCCTTCTCCCTTTTTCCAATCCCGTCTTTCTCCTCCTCCTCCCTCCTCCCTCTCCTCCCTCTTTCTCCTCTCTCCCTCTCCCTTCTTCCTCTTTCCTCTCACCCCCCCTACCACATCCCTTCGCCCATTACCCTCCTTTATTCCTCTACACTTTACCTCTTCCCTTCCCTCTCTCCCTCCCTTACCCCTCTCCTCTCACCCCTTCCACCCTCCCTCCCCTCCCTCCACTCCCCTTCCACCCTTCCCACCTTCCCCCTCCTCCTCCCTCCCCTTCCATCCGCACCCCTCTCTCCCCTCCTTTCCTCCCTCCTCCCTTCCATCCCCACCCCTCCCTTTCCCTCCTCTCCACTCCCTCCCTCTCCTCCTCCCTGCCACCCACTTTCCCTCCCTCTCTTCTCCCTCACCTCCCACCTCCCTTCCTCCCTCCCCTCCCTCCTCTATCCACCCTTTCACTCCCTCCTTTCCTCCCTTCCTCCCATCTCCTCCCACACACTCCCTCCCTCCCTTACTCCTCCCTCTCCCCTCCCTCCTCCTCCCACCCTCTCCTCCCTCTCTCCCCCCTTCCTCCCTTCCTCCTCCAACCCCCCTCTCCCTCCCTCCCTCTCCCCGTCACTCACCCATAATGATGTGCAGAGCGGCTGTGGTGACGTCACTCGTTCCGTGGGTCCCGTGGCAGGTGGCGTCCGTGCTGCCACCTGTCGGGAGATAAGAGAAGTGAGCGAGATAAAGAGATAATGGTGATAAAACGAAAAGAGAAAGAAATAGGAATAACGCATTTCTTTGTTTATATATATAAAAAGTGGAGATAAATGAGATTAAAGGAAAAGAGAGATAAGCAAGATAAGAGATAAATGGGGATAAACGTAACAAAAAATAAAATAAAAAAAATATAACGTATCAATTAAATATATATAAAAGGGAGATTAGTGAGATAAAAGGATAAGAGAGAATAAAGCAAGATAAGAGATAATGATGTAAAAACGAAAAGAAAATATAAATAACTTTCTTTAATTATATATATATATATATATATATATATATATATATATATATATATATATAAAAGGGGAGATAAATGAGATTAAAGGATAAGAGAGAAAAGCGAGATAAAGAGATAAATATTTAGTAGAGCAAAAGAAATATAAATAAACATATCCAATATATTATATATATATATATAATATATATATATATATATATATTATATTATATAGAAGGGGATAAATAGAAGATTAAAAGGATAAGAGAGAGAAAAGAGATAAAATAGAGAATGGTGACAAGAAATCAAAGGAAGAAAAAGAAATATAAAACAATATAAATTTTAAAAAAAGTGAAATAGATTAAAGAATTATGGAAGATAAAGACAGATAACGGCAATGAAGCAAAACAAAAATAGAAAGCCAAGTAAAAAAAGAAGAAAAGTAAAAATTTTAATCTTATAACGAAACAAAAAACCGAAAGTGTTATATTTACAATATATCTGTATCTGCATGTCTATATCTACCTATCTTATCCTATCTATTCATCTCTATCTATCTACCTATTCAATATATCTATCTATCTACTATTCATCTATCTATCTATCTACCTATTCTATCTGATCTATCTACCTATTCATCTATCTATCAATCTACCTATATCCATATTATCTATCTATCTACCTCATAATAATGGTAGTTACCAACATAACTACGTATCTATCTATCTATCTTTATCCAAAATATTCCCCCCACACATGATACGAAAAAGGAAAGGAAGAAGGAAAAAAGTAAACAAAGAAAAAAAATAAATAACCACGAATACACACAAGAAAAAAAAAACTACGTACAACAAAAATCCGGATAAAAACCAGACCAAAATTCGTTTAAGTGTGTCCTATCGATTGGCAATGACACTGGCCACGGCTTCGGACTCGTCAATAATGCACGGATTTCGGCGGGAAGGTCCCATGGATTGCCCATCGCGTACTTTTTTTTCTTTTTCTTTTCTTTCTTCCTTTTCTTTCACTTTTTCTCGTTTTCAGTTTTGTTTCTTTCATTTTGGTTGTTGTTGTTGTTTCTTTCTTTTTCAATTTTTTTTCTTCCATTTTCTTTCTTTCGTTTTCCTTCTTTTTTCCTTTATGATATTACCTTTATATTATCTTATTCATTGTTTATCTATTCATCTATCTCTATTATCTATCCTTATATTTTTTTTCTTTTTTGGAATTTCCTTCTATCATTTTAATTTCTTCTCTCTATATATAATATATATAATAATATATATATATATATATATATATATATAATATATATATATAATATATATATATATATATAAATCTAAACGATGACTCAACAAAATTTAAATCACTAAGTTCACCTACAAGACCATGAAAAACAAAAAAAAAAATGATGCCATCAAACACTGAAATAAAAACGTTAAAAACCGTTAAAACAGAAATAACAGAACAAACACCCTCAATATATATATATATATATATATATATATATATATTATTATTATTATTATTATTATATTATATTATTATTATTATTATTATTATTATTATTATTATTATATTATTATATATAATAATATTAATAATAATAATAATAATAATAATAATAATAATAATAATAATAAATAATAATAATAATAATAATAATAAATAAATAAATAATAAATAAATAAATAAATAAAATAAATAAATAATGAATAATAAATAAATAAAATACAAACAAAAACTAATAACATTAATAAAAATAATAACAAAAACAAATAAATAATTACATAATAACAATAAGTAAATAAACAAATAACATTAACAACAAGCATACAACTCCTAAAAAATAACAAACAAGAACAAACGGCCCCTCACGCCCACCCTCACCTGGTATGATGCCGACCCTGAGCACCGTGGGCGGCAGGAAGCCTCAGGGTCATGGGGTCGACGCCCACCTCGCCGCCGCCCGCAGGAGCAGCCGTGACCACCTCGTTGACTAACCCGTCCCCGCCACCACCACCACGCCGTCTAGACGCCCGCGTCGAGGGCGTGCTTCTCGACCAGCTCGCGCCCGTGGCCTTGGTGCGTCCTGAGGGAGAAAAGAGAGGAGAGAGGAGGGGATGAGTACAACACATGTACGTGCACGTGTGTTTGTATTTGCGTTTGTGTGTGTGTGTGCACGTAAAAACATGTACACACACACAACACATCTACACATACACACACACACACACTACACATACACACACACATCTACACATACACACACACATTACACACATACACACACACACACATACACAACACTACACACACACACACATCTACACATACACACACACACATCTACACATACACAACACACACACATCTACACATACACACACACACACATACACACACACACACACACACACACACACACACACACAACACACACACACACAACACACACACACACACACACACACATCACACACACATCTACACATACACACACACACACAGACACACATGTACACACATGACGTACCACAACACACACACACAACAACACACACACACACACACACACACACACACACACACACAACACACACACACACAACACACACACACACACACACACACACACACACACACACACACACACACACACACACACACACACACACACACAAAACACACACACACACACACACAAAAACACACACACACAAAAACACACACACACAAAAACACACACACACAAAACACACACACACACACACACACACACAAACACACACACACAAACACAACACACACAAAAACACACACACACAAAAACACACACACACACACACACACACAAAAACACACACACACACACACACACACACACACACACACACACACAAACACACACACACACTTACTTTACTCGAGAATTAGTTATATTCTGAGCATTTATTCATGAAATTTATTGTATATTCATCACTCCTTTACTCGATGAATTAATATTTCATTAGTAATTCCGTATTAGTGTATGTATCACTTTTCCACTTAATTAGTGCGATTGTAATACTACTTGCTTGTTTACTCATTATTCAAGGTCTGTACTATTACTTTTTTTTAAGTTTTATTCTCGTCTATTGAGAAGGGAAACTGCGAGCCACTGATAGATTAAAATAAATGGGACACGTAAAATGCATGGAATAGCTTCAACTTATTATTTATTATTCACTCAGCACACAATACATAATTAAATGAATGAGGCCCTGCACATTCACCCCCACTCACTCACCTTAAGCACTACAGGTTAATCCTAACACTAATCATGGCACAACACTTCAATATCACAGTCACTTCAAAGTCATTTCAACGAGTCACTTCACTGTCCTAACTCACGTAGGTCGCACTGCACTTTTGTTAATTTTAGTCGTATCTACTCAGCACTTAAATGTAGTTTATATCACGTTTAATTTAAGACGAATTAGCACCGATTTAGTTTATGGTAATTTTCTATATCACGTCCGCATAACCGATTTCGACGATTTTGGTATCGTTGGATTCCTCTCACTCTCCACATTGCAAATATATAGGTTTTATTGCGCGGAAACCCCCCGTTAGCGAGAAACTTGGCCCCGATAGCAGGGGAGGGCATGGAAGGTTCCAGGGAAAATGCGGGGTTAAATAGCACTAATAATATAACGCACAGTGAAAATAACCATGGTTATTCACATAACTTTCCATTAATTTCCAGTAATTATAGAAAATTACCGAGTTTATAAAGCACTTCTGAAATAGATTTCTTTCTGAAGAATTAGCGGCCAAACAGGGGTCGAGAGCA